ATGCATCGTGGTACAGCAGTTGGGTAACCCACAGTTGGCTGATTGGAGGACTCCTTTCAAGATGGCCTCCTTCTCTTAATCCAGCAAATGGGATCTGGGTTTGTGAGATTAGGTGATGCCCTTTGTCTTGCATGTGTTGCCTGTCAGTGTTTCGGGTCAGCTAAGTGGATGTGTAAATAATTGAGCAACTAATGACTAATTAACAGATTTATTGAGAAAAGGAGGGGCACATTTTAGCTCTGACAGTATTTTTTGGTGTTTGGTTTTGGCCCAAAGGTCATATGCTTGAATGGCATACAGCACTATTTTATTGGCAGATCTGCGTGTATGTGTGTATGTGTGTGCATGCATTAGTGTGTTTTCATTAGGGATTTGGCAGTAGCAATACTCGAAAAGAGCAGTTGCCTTGAAGCAATATGTGCGCACAGCTCACACCATTTCTCTCTGTACTCCCATCCTTCCACCCTCACACCCTGCGTATTCAATCTGCGATATCACTGGAATGAGTGGGTGGTCTTTGTGTGTGAGTGTGTGTGGTACAGTATCATTGCAGTGCGTAGGTGGTGTAACCAAAGAGAGGATGTTGCGTGGGAGTGAAGTACCATTGAGGTGGGCATGATTTATGTGTGTGTTGGAGAAAGTTCCTTTGTGTTAATTATAACCCCTCTGATCACCACCGGTTTGCCAGTAGGTACGGATTAAATAGAATATGACACAAAGATAACTGATCCCCAAATATGTAAGTGAGATCATGGTGATAAACGCACACTGAAAATATCAGAAACATTTTTGGAAACAGTGAAAGATCATTTTGTTAAACGTTGTGATCTATCAATCACTCAGACTGTGCATTACACAATAGTGCAGGGAAAACTGTGCGCTTGTGTTCAAAGCCATGCTTTTTCATGCTTGTGTGACTTTGCTTAAATAACATGAAGTGGTAAGCATAATTTAGTTCTGTTGCTAAACAGGAAGCAGTCATTGTGGCTTTAATGATTTGAAAGTGTTCTCAAAAGTATTAAGGATGAATTTAAAAACCAACTAATCAATCAACACTTTAAAAATCTTTCACTAATATGGTATTTTTCATGTTCCAGTAAATATGTAGGACATTAAATAAGCACCGCAGCTGAGCATTTCCGTCTTGCTTAACATACGTTACAAACCTGAGGGCTCGACCCCATCAGCCAGGGAATGGGGCTAACATTGATCAAACACCAGCAACACGTTATTAAGCTATCAAGTCAAAGTTGTCGACGTGGACTCTTTTCATATCAGCTCAGCAGGAAAATGTCCTCTTATCTCTGTTTCAAGATGTGTGTGTCTGCGAGTGTGTGTGTGTCACTGTAAACCAGACAAACGCTGCACAGTGGAGGAGACAATTAAAATAAAGATGATGTTACACAATCTGACAGCAACGTATGTTATTGCAAGTGTGCCGCGTGTCCCGGCAAGTGTTCGTTTAAGTGCTCCGCTTCTGATGACAGTTTTAATTTACACAGCTAGCAACTAGCTGTTTTCCAGTGTGCTCAAGGCAAGTGTTTGTTCATGTGTTCTGGGATTTTTTTCTTCTTTCCTTTAACCAAAACAGCACAGCACTAGATTTGTGTTCCAGGTCCTCCTGAGTTAAACATTTAGCACCGATCTTTTTCTATTTTGCAAGATAACTTAGGAAGAACAGGAAGAATGGAGCCTGCGTGCAAGTGGCTGAGCGGGAGGCACAAGGGCAGATTTGCATATTCATATTATGCATGCTAAATGAGGCAAACAAAAGCCCCACAAACTATGGATATGAAATACATAATTTTATCTTTTTTTAAATTTGATGAGCATGTTTTTTTTAAAATCACTCTAGCAAAGCAAACCTTCAGTAGAGTGGTGGCTGTTTTTTTTAAGTAGTATTTTTGGTTTGAAAACAGTTTCGTTTCACAAAACACTGCACACTAACTCATTAATCAATATGTTATTTTAGTGTGCTGTAATAGAGTTTCAGTAGTTGTTTTATCATAACGTGTATTTGGGCGCCTCTGGATCTTCTATCTGACATACACGCCATGTAAATATACTCTGGGGCACAGTCATAAGGACTGTGTATGTGAGATATATTTAGCTTCCTCTGTTAGTCTTGCCTGTCAGTGGAGCTGACATTGATCAGGGGGGAAATGACAGACTCACTGTGCGTCAAAGCTTTCACATGTTTCTGCACCGCTGATTGTTACCAACACAGAAAGTGTTACGCTTTTCATCACATTTGGATTCTTATTGTATAGGCTTTCCTTTGGTCTTTTTAAATGTGTGTTGATGTGTATGCCTGTTATTTAAAAAACAAAAAAACAGCAACTCTTCAACCCTGTAAAATGGCACATTTAGATTTGAGATATTTTAATTTGTTGACACAGTAGACTTTAGAAACATAGCAAATTATGTTGATACAAAGTCATTTTTGTACATACTGTACCATAAAGCAGAGGTTACATTTAACAGTACATCCAAGACATTTAGAAGGTGCTCTTATCCAGAGTGGCTGACAGTGATTCAACGGTGCTGGAGTGACAATAAAGAGAGTGTGGGTGTGAATCCCACTGTACGTTTATCACTGCTAAAGCTTTTCTTATGTTAAATAAGTGCTGCTTCTAACAGCCCAGGGACAGCAAAACAGCTCAGCTTCTATCAAACCTACTGCTAAAAATATCGGTGCTTTTGGTTGAATAAAAATTAAGTCAGTGAGTCAGTAAATGCAGATAATACTCCTGTGCCTGGGATCATGTTTTGATCTTGATAAAGATGGTTAGTGTACTTGTTCACCCAGTGCAGTTATCTAATCTGTGTTAGCCATCGTCAGCTATGAGTATATTTATTATGTGAATCCTACAGTGCCGTGCAAAAGTCTCGAGCCACCTGTCATTTCTTTAAATTTTGCCTCCAAGGAACCAGATTTTCTTATCATTTCTTTAAAAAGTGGTCTTGAGCAAAAGTTCTCCAGGCTTTCTGAAGATCCTTTAAAGGTTTTTCTTTGGTCATTGGCTGCTTTTTCACTCATTTTCAGTCCAGTCCTTGTACAGGTTATTAGCAGAGGAATGTTTTTGTGTTAAGCCACTTAATGCTTAGATGTGAATCATTCAAATATCACCTAACCAGGGTCGTCAGTCTACACATAACAGACAACTTAGCAAAGAAACAATTTTAAATTGCGTCCCTGGTACTTTGGTGTTAGCAGTCTGTTGCAAAACCACATAAATTGTACCCATTTCCTTACTCAAATTTATGAGTGTTACGGTTAGAGGTGGTAGGGCTAAAAAAGCTCTCAGCAGATGAAAAGAATCTGAAAGTCATGTGCTTGACAAATAGGAAAAAATCCAGTAAAAACCGGACACAAGACCTGAAAGATGAATCTGGCCTATCAGTTGGTCCATCTACTGTTCAGCGAAGCCTAATTCTGAAGAAAGGGAAACAGGGGGAAATGCTTACGACAAAAGACACAAGTAATGCACTGAAATTCAGTGGTAACAGGTCTTATGGAGAGTAGAGCAGGACGATATGAAAAATATTTATCATGATATACATTTGAAAATTTGCGATAACGATATAACTGACGATATAATTGACACTAGACAAAATACTTTACAACTCCACAACTTTATTAGTGCAAAAAAACATCAATGTATTTTCACTTAAACAAGCAGCTGTTTTTTTATGTGCATTAAAGTTATATAAAAATGTAACAGTGCAAATTCCTCGCTGACAGTTTAACCAAAAGGCATTTCCAGTGGAAACTGGCCGACATATCCTCAGCATAACCATGTAGAATATCCACAAAACTTAAAAACTTAAAACGTATCACTCCGCGAGGCGCCTGCCTAATATAGCTTAATGCTCCGACAATCCATCAAGCGGTGCGGGTTCGTAGCTTAGCAAAGTCGTACTGAAACATTTGACAGATTTTCGAGCGCCGTGTACATAAAATCGTTTCGAGGTCAGTAAACACAACCAGAATTCATACATAAGGCACACGGGATTATAAGGGACACTGTCGATTTTCAGAAAAATCAAAGGATTGATTTTAAGTGTGCCGTTTTTTCCAAACAACACGGTAATAACGACGGCCCGCTAGCATGCTCTACCAAAAATAGTGCTTTGTTGTGTATGTGACGGACGAAAGCTAAACCAGTTCCACACCACTGAAGTTGCAGCATTTTTACAAACCAATTCTGGTTTCATTCAACGATCCGCTTTCGCTCTTCTCATGTGCGCATGTAAACATAGGCGCTGCGCATGCGCGTTTTACCCATATTCTATTGCGATATTTCATTTTTCTATCGTTGCCCAAAATTACGCCGGTATTACCGTGAACGGTATGATATGGCTCAGCCCTAACAGTCAGTGTGTGCAGGCCCGTGTAAAACACAGTGGAGGCTCTGTGATGGATTGTGGCTGCATTTCTGCTTCAGAATTTAACCCACCATGCAGTAACATCTGTAAAACATCAGATTGCTTCATTTTTCAGCGTGACAATGATCCCAAACACACTTTTAATGCAGTAAAAGCAAACCTACAGTAGATCAGTCGTGGATTGGCCTCCCCTGACCGTGGACCTCAACATTATTGAAGCAGTGTGGGTTTATCTTAATAGAGAATGGAACAAAAGGCAATTCAATTCAATTCAATTTTATTTATATAGCGCCAAATCACAACAAAAGTCGCCTCAAGGCAGAGACATCTAAAGAAGAGCTTTAAATGTTGGAGGTTTTTCCAAATGTGAGCTGATTTAAGCCCATTCACAGGTGCCAGACTAAGATTTTGGCTGAACAGCCTTCAAGTTAGCTTGAAACTAATGTTGACATCAGACTGTGTTTTTAAAAACAGCAAATACAAGTCAGCATGTGTTTACTGGTCAAAGCTAAAGAAAAAATGTCAGATTTTTAGACATTTTTAGATCGCAGGATCTCTTTGCTGTGTACAGAATACTGATGCTTTCTCTTCCTCTTTTTCTCTCTTCACAGTGTGTTGTTTCGTGGTTCACAAACGTTGCCATGAGTTCGTCACTTTCTCCTGCCCAGGTGCTGATAAAGGGCCCGCGTCAGACGTGAGTACAAATAAACGAATCATTTTAAACTGTGTGAGAGCAAGAGCATGCACAAGTAAGTGAAAGACACGTGGAAAGCGAGAGACACAGAGAGCACGTCGACATTTCCATTCACGAGCCCCCGTCACCTGTCGGCGCCGGTGTTACGCTTGAGCAGCCTCCATCTTTTTCTCGCTTCTCACTCTCCTTTTCCTGTCTTGACAGTTCAACCGTAACCTCCAGGAGTTTCTCTAGTAATTACATTTAAGTAAGTACAGAAGAAGTGATACCATAAAAGCCAGAAAAGACATGTAACACCTGGAGCTGCCAAATATAACCGCTGTATTACAGTAATTGCTCTTCATCACGCTACACGAAGAAAATGACGGCCTTATATTTAACCACATGGACCCAAAGTAGCTCCTATTGTTCTCTAACTGCTGCCTATGTTCACCTATGCTTCTTTTCTTCCTCTTAGAGGTTTTATATTATAAAAAACTGAAGCTCAGAGGTTCCCTTGATCTCTTTTTAGTATCTTTGAAGTTTGAAAACACCCCTCCTTGCTGGTTGAGTGTTTCTGTGGTGTTATCTGTACGAGCCACAGGTTGCAGTTCGCATTCTTTGACATGAATTCAAAGAGTATTGTCGGAGGTTAAAAGCTGTGCCACTCTCGTATTATTATTAATTCTCTTTAAACGTTCTCTTCACCTTCTTATCCGCTCTAACAACATGAAGTGCCGTTAAGTGGTATGCTGCTCTGTCAAGGAGCTGACGAGTTGTCTTTTCTCTGATTCATATTCTTAAAATGCAAATCTAGTCTCCAACCGATCCTCCCGAAGGAACAAGACGTTTGCCTTTTTTTTCTCTCTCTCATAAGAGCGCTCTTAGGGTGCCGTTTTTATCCTCACCGAAGCCCCTCCCTACGTTCCTCAGCCACGTCTTTACCTGCCTCTGGAGTGCCCTTTCAGCCTGACGAGCGCACTTAGCGTGCCGCCTTCAGAGGAAACGCTGTTTGGCTTCCTGTAGCGTGTTCTGTATAACTGATAATTCTCCGCAATGAATAAGAGGTTAATCTTTTTATCATTTACCCATCCTGCCTCTCCTTCTCACAGCAGTGCCACAAATAGTTGATGTTTTTATAGCTTCCTTAACAGGCTGCACCTTAAATGCCAAGCTGGACGCCAAAATTTGTAAAACTTTGCCCATGTTTTGTGTCGACCGACACAATTCTTTCTTTTGACCTTAAAAATCCATTCAGATTTCCTGTAAACTGCCAGTTTAGGCAGACGACTGAACTTTTTATTCTTTAGGAATCTTTCATTTGTCTTATATTCATGCAGCTGCTGCATTGTGGACATCATAGCCTTTTTATTTTACTGTTATCCTGCTGATAAACTTATGTCTCTTTTTATGATAATAACTTGATTTTGTGTACATGTTTTTCAAACTACTTCCCCTCCTCTCGATCTTCTCTTTCCTCTTGAGTTTTCAAAAGCCATTTTCTTCATTAGCAACTTCAAATGTCATTCCATATCTCTATAATCTCCTCTCTATTTTCTCTAGCTGTCCCCTTAGCTTTACTGGCACTTATCTATATATTTCTATATTTGGTGCACATGCAACTCTCCCATGTCTTTATCTGTCTCCCATTGTTTCCCACACCACCATACCAAACTCTGTCCTCTATTTAAATGCCACTCCACCCAGGGGGCCACTGCTCTTAATTACGGGGCCTCGCCTTCCCCACTATGTCATCTCTTTAATGAGTTCATGGCCTTACGACCTTGGTTGCAGCACAGTGGGAATGCAGGGTAGATCTTCTCCTAACTAGCTGCTCATTTAAATATAGAAGACAGGAAGGCAAGAAGCCTGACGATTACAAGAAAGGAGGGTGATGAGGCCTCTTACGGCACTCACTCACAGACCTGTTTTTCTTGAAATTGGCATTTTGTAGCATACTTATTTGAGGCTAACAGAAGTGCCCAGATTTTTTTTTACATTAGCATTATCAAATTCCTAAATTAACATTTTAATAACCATGTCAGACGTGACACAGTGTCTTCACCTGTACACACACAGATACTGCCTTTGTGAGCTGACACGGAGAGGAGAGCTTACAGTTATTTTCAGATCACTCAGTCGAAATGTTCCAATATTTTTGCACTATATTAGCAAATAGAGTATATCTAAATATCACATATAGATAAATATACATCAGATATGAAAGACGTGCTCTGGCTGAGTGTGTCTTTTGACTAGAAAATGTCAGTGTTCTATGGGAACACAGATTTTTTAGAAAGATTGTACGATCAGAAATATTGCATCATTCTCTGCGGCGATCAGCCCATCGCTCCCTTTTTACCTTCTGCCTCTCTCTATGTCTCTCTCTCATCCTCTCTGTCAGCTGCGCATGTTTATTAAAAGACAAATTCAATTATAGATCTGGGTTAATAGAATGGGCTCCCCGTGGGAGAGGTCGAGGGATGAGCTTCTCTAATGAAACCTACATTTCAGGCACGCACCCTTACGAAGGTGTTGTGTGTGTGTGTGTGTGTGTGTGTGTGTGTGTGTGTGTGTGTGTGTGTGTGTGTGTGTGTGCGTGCGCGTGTGTTTGAGAAGCCGGTTGCATAAGAATAGCACCGCTTCAAAATAGCTTTACAAATTTGCAAGACAAGTAGACGGTTAACTCTGTGTGTGTTTGTTTGTTTTGTGGAATTTCCGTACTTCCTGTGATTTATTTGATGTGATGTATGTTTTCCATTCAAAAATATTAACTGCCTCTGTTACCAAAAAGTGGATTCTTATATGATAAAATGCAATGGAAGTTATGTGTAGGGGGGAAAATGTAAAAAAGGTCCAATTACATTATGTGAAACTAGGCAGCGTAGAAGGACGTGGAAGTAGCTCAGTAAATTTGATCATGGCGTTATCATATATCAACAGATTTTAAAAGAAATAATAGAAGCTAGTTCAGGTTAGTCATCTAATTTTGTCAGAGAAGATGAGTAGATGAAGTCCTTTTTTTTCTCCAGAGTTAAATTAAGTTTATTTTGCATAATTTGCTCATTTGCTTTTTCCTCAAAAGCTGTTTGACTGGAGTCAGAATGTAGCATAAACACACCAAAGAGGTAAAGCTTTAGCTTCATCTGACTGACATACACTCTGAATATGTGAATTATTAGTTTTTATTAGTTTGTATTTTTAGAAACAACAAAATAAGCATTTTTCTTAAACTTCAAGGCTTTTTAAAATAATCTTGTTTCTTTGTTTCCAGTCTTTTTCTTATGCTAACATGCTGCTGGCTTCAGCTTTAGATTCTCACTTTGTTAAATTATTACCTTTTCTACCTTTTTATGATGTTTTTTTTTTGTTTTGTTTTTTTTTGCAGACACTCCTATACAACAAGTGCACATGCACCAATAGCATGCATTTATACATGGTCATTCTCAATTCTGCACATAAACAATATAAATGTGATTTCAACATGATGATATATTTATCAGTATGTCTGCACGGGTTGTTAAAAAGACGTCAAAGCTGTGAGGTAGCCTTTGAGAGGCAAAGAGAAAGGTTGATGGCGAGATTGTTGTTAAATACGTAGCACGGCCGACTCCGTCCCCTGTCTCGTTATTGCGCTGTCTTTCTTTCAAGGCCTATTTTGCTCAAATCCTTTAAATAATATTTCACACGCTTTCACTTACATGTTTCCCAGAGGAAGGATTATAAGCCTGAGTCAGGTAAACACTTGGCACAGCGTTTCTTTTATTGATCAGGGCAGCAAAAGCAGCTGTTGCAGCCTGCGTTATATTACATTTTACTTTTTCGGAGGAAAGTTTACAGCCTCTTATTGAATCGGAGTGGGTGGCTACAAAAGAATGTTTGCTGGTTAACTTTCATAGCCTTTGGGGAAGTACACATAGTTTTTCAATAACAGCAATGTGAGTCATACTAACTTAAGTTTTTCTAGATTTAAAAAGTTAATCTGTGTATTTATTACTTTGTTTTACGTGACGATGCAAGCTAAAATAAGTGCGCCTCTTAAAATAAAGGCAGATCAAACCAAACTCTGACTTACTGTTTGTTTTGTTTTCATTTTGTTTTACTTTTTTCTTTATCTTGATATTATTGTAGGATAAATAACGTGTTTTTTTTATGTGAGCTTTGAGTGTGTTTCATTTTTCATGTTAATAAAACAGCTTACTCATTAGCATACAGTAGATCTGCTGTAGCATATTTATGTATGTTTGCTCCGTTGCTCCTCCTTGATGCGTTCAACTGGATGAAACTCACTATATTAACTGCCTATTGCACCAGGATTATCAATGTCTATATAGCTTTTGGTAATTATTGATCTAACACTCAGATCCTTATAAATCATATAATATATTTAGACCCCAAAACAAACAGTGACATTACGTCTACATTGCACATGTTGATGTTTGTAAATACAATCTGCTAACCAATTTTTAGTGCAGTGGTATTTTTCACTAAAATGTGACGTCGTGCATATGTGTAAACAACCGTTCATCAACACTAACACGCTAACAGTGCCTGTAATTCATAACTTTCTCTTACAACATGAATATGTAGCTCACAAAGATATATGTGTTTGTTATTCAGGCGTTTGATGTTTATAAACAGCTGTTTTTGCCATCTGACTATACACAATGATATAATGAAGATAAAAACAAGCTGACACACTTCTGTGTTTTAATGCACGAGTAAAGCAAAAACTGCATTTCTTTTTGGGAAGAAAATTAAGTTTTTCAGCATTTTATTAGTAAAAAACTATTTTTCTTTTTCAGACTTGCTTGTAGCAAAACTTTCGAATAAATAATGCCTAACATGAGCATGTTTATATTGGTTTTAATTGAGCTCTATGAAAAGTAAAAGCCACAAATAACCTTCGTGGTGCCCGTCGACGTGACACGCAACGGCTTCATGACAGGTTTAGTCTGTGCAGCGATTTTGCCACCGGAGATATGTCAGAAAGTACTAGCTTGAGAGGAGTAAGTGGACTGAAGGCAAAATCAGCGCTGAAAAATAAAAAGTTTTCGTGTGAGTGACTGTGAGCACAGATCTGCCTGTCACACAGCATCATGAAAACATGACAAGATGTGTATGTAATTGTTGTGAGCTGACTGATGCTAATGCCAGGGAATTTAACAGACAGCAGAGTTTTAAAAAACAAAAGAAGAGCAGCGAGTGAGAGACAACACAGTGACAGGAAGGTGGTCAAAACAGCGCACTGAGCATGGACTAATGGCTAGTCACTGGCTGATTTTATGAGCAGGCTTTCAGTTTACATGCTTAAAAAAATCAAATTTGTTAAATCTGCTTTGAATAACTTCTTTTTGGGTGAAATTTGGCAACACTGTAGAGAAGATAACAGGTGTCAAAGCATATCTATGGTAACACACAAAAACAAATATATCAGCATAAAACTGGTGACAAGACTTTACTTTTCCCCCAGTGGCTCCATGGCATGAAGGAATATCAGGGCCAGATTAAGAAAATATTGTTCATTTTTGAGAATAACGTCAAAATGTGGAGATCAAAGTTGTCATTTCTTGTCAGACAACTGTCACGGCTGCTGTCCCCTCTACAAAACGCCTTGTTTAGATGAGGTAGTGAACTCGTGCTTGAGAATTGGTTTTAGTAGCAAGGAAATGATTTCTCCTTTAGCACATACACATCGTGGTGATAAGTATTAACACGTTAAAGAGATGGTGTAGAAAGTTGCATCTGGTCAGAAGGAAAAAAACACAGGAACTTGGTGAAGTTGGCAGTGGACAGCTGCAAGGATAGTGATGTTTACACCCTCGTGCAGTAAAGAGGACGTATGCTGTACCACAAGAAGATACCTGATCAAGTTGTTTGCAGAGGGTAGAGCAGCCGTGGCAGTTTTTTGGTTTTTCAGGAACTTTAATATCCACGTTTCAACTTTATTCTCAAAAAGAACAATAATATATATATTTTAATGTAGCCTTAGTACGCCGTCGTAGCACAGTGGAGACATTTTCATGAAAAAGATCCCCTCTTTAAGTCTGGGAGGAGGTAAAAATCCCCTGGGAGGGGTTGTGTCAGAAAAGACTTCTGAGGTAAAGATCTGCCAACTCAAATATGCAGAGGCATCTACTGTGGCGACTCCTTGTAAATAAGAGAGCGGCCAAAAGAAGCTTTAGTTTAGTGTAGATACTTTTTTTTCCCAGCATGCCCTCTCAGACACTGGGCCTGTTTGAACAGGTTAATTTCAGTACCGAGGTCGAGTTATTTATCAGCTATCAGTTATTAAAGTTGAGGACCTCTGGAAGACCTTTACAATTTCAGTAAAATGGTTGTAGAAGGACGGCAAAAAGAATGTGGTAAAATATTTTCCATCTCATAATAATAAAACAGGTTTGGCTATTTGAAGGTATAAACAGAATGTCCTGGCTCTGTTTGAAGGTAACAGAATCTCCTTACTGTTGTGCTAAGGCTTACTAATCAAATTGGTTATTTTATATTGAAATTATAACATGAATATACAACTCTAATGTCATTTTGACAGAGGAAGCCTCACATGCTGCTTGGTCTCTGTACCTAAACTGAGAAACTGGAGCCAGTGAAGCTGTGGCTGGATGCTATTAAATATATATACATATATACACAAATATTAGTCCAAACACTGAAATATTCCAATTCTGATCCTTTCACACTCAAATCTAAAAGTGTTAAACACAAAAGTTGGCAGAACATCCTAACACAGTCACGTAAACCTTCCATTGTAGGATGATATATTAAGCTGATTGTTGTTAAGCTGTGATTCAAACTTGCATTTCTTTGTTTTACTTTACTTTAGTTTACTGTTCACTAAGTGGAAACATTAAATCAAGAAGACCTACCGGTGTTTTTCACAGCTTGTTTTGACTCATGAAATTAACATCATCCTTGAAAACACCGTCATATTGAAGCAACCTTATAGATCACAATGTCCACGTCCTGTAGGGAGGAGGTCAGGGTGGATGGAAGGGTTAAAGAACTTAACTTATTTTTGCTCATATCTTGACTTCTGTGAGAAAAATGACAGAAAAGGTATTTTTTAAAAATCTGTTTAAACTGATTTTACATCAAAATAAAGTTCATCAAAGAAGGGGGAGACAATAAAAGTGGTGTCTTTTTTCTCCTAGTCGCTGCTTTCATGCGTTCTTCTTAATGATTTTTCTTTCTCATTGATGTTTGAGTTTTCGCTGCGGATGCATTTAATCATTCATATTTATAAAGAAGCTGGCACTCTTTGTAATCAGCCCTCACACTGCTCTCTGTCTGCTGCTGCTCATCACTGGAGCTTCAGCAGCACAATGTTCCCTTGTTTTTATGCGGCACAAAAAAGAAACAGTAGGTGGTATTGTTCTCGAGAAAGTTGAAAAACAGCATTTGAAACAAATACACAAAGTAGCGCGTGGAAATGTACACGGAAATCACAGGCATCCACACGTTCAGGCTTAGGGGCAACACTGCTGAAGACACTGTGGGGACACTGGGTATAATTGACTGGTCACCTAAATTTAATGTTATTTCCAGGACAGGTGTGGAGGAGAGGAAGACATCAATCATTCTAATTTTTTCTTGGCTCATGAGATTAAAAGGCACGAAGGCACGTGTGAAAGAAAACTGGCACTCGTGGTCTCTTTCTAAATTGGCTTTAAAGGAAAATTAACAGTAAGCACTGGTCTATTTGATGTCATCAAAGCACTTTGCGCTGGAGGAGATCCCTCACAAATCATATTAAATTCTGTATCTGCATGTTTGCTAGCTGCGATGGATCCCCTTGGCAGAAATATTTTAACTCCCACATTGAAGTACGCCCGCTTCGCTGCACAATTTGGATCCTCCACAAGCGGTATATCGGATGTGCACGGCCTAGGAGTTA